TTCAGTAGCAAAGCTCTTATCAAGTAGTGTGTCCACACAAGCTGCATTTTCCCAAGCATTTCTGAAGTTCAAGCTCAAATCGGAAATACAACTGCTGAAGATCACTGATCCTGGATCAGTAAGTGACGCCATCGCCATACACGGGTGACTTCTTCTTCTTCGTGTTTTAAATCAATTAAACTAAGGGCGGGGTTGACCTCGTTGCTATGGATGATTTCAACAAGCTCACTAACTATGCCCATTGAAAATTCACCATGGTTTTATTATAGAAAAAGTGTAGTAACCATGTTTTTTTTGCGCATTGATTACCATTTGTATAACCAGTTTTACTACAAAAACCATGGTTAAACTATAGTTAGTGTTGCAAGACCATGGTTAATTTGTGGTTACCATGGTTTAACTATAGTAACCATGTTTTTGTTTTGTTTTATTTGTAGTAAAGCCATGGTTAATTTTCATAAAGGTAATAGGGGATGTGTCTTTGTAGATCATGGTATCATGTTGCCAAATTGAAATTAAGATTTTAAAATAAAAATGTTGCCATATTCAAATAAAGATTTTAAAATGTAGGCAAAGTGTCACTAATTAAAAAAGTATAGCCTCTTATATTCAGCCTCTTACATGTCTGCATTTCATAAACAATTAGCGGATGTGCATATAAGCTGTCTTTTAATTAACAGACAAGAATAAACATGGCTGATAGTAAGACGTTGTGCAAACATAAAAGAAAACAACTGGATGCAAGAGCAGCTATCACTACTTGTACATGAAATCCCTGTTGAAAAAAAAACAGCATATGCTGGTTAAGTATGTTTTTTGTTAGTCTTTTTCTCTGAGTGTCTATTTATACTAAGTGCAAATAGCTGGCCTTGTTGTGACACACACCAACGTGTGATTCGAATAGTCAACATTACAAAAGACGACCGTCTAATATTAGTTTGAGTGCCATAGATGGTAAAGCGTGTGGCGTTTTCATTTTTGACGTGATGCGAGCGAATAAAAATGAAGGAAATAATCGAAAAGCTGAAAATAAAATATCAGGTAGGGGTGCGCCGATCCGATATTCAGGATCGGTATTGCTCCGATACTGGCATTTTCTGCTGGATCGGGGTATCGGTCAGACGAGACCGATCCAAATCCGATATAGTGCGTATACTATTCTGTGTTATTATTAAGCCCCACGAAAGCCACAAAAACCATACCATAAAGTTTTCGTGCACTATATTTCAAGTGTTCTGAAGTTTTCCATAGTTTAATGTGAGGTACAGATGAATATTTAAGTCATGTTCACGTAAACTCTTCTCTCCACAGCGGCTGTCTGTCATCTTCCATTCAGCATTCAAACTGCGTGTCACGTTCGGTTACGACAGTCAAGACAATGAAACTCTCTCCAAGATGATTAAATGTTCCTAATGTTATACTTGATCTGTAAATAAAGATAAATGGTTTTGCATAAAAGGAATTTATCTTGGTGGAGTTTCGTGCTGTTTCTAAAGCATGATACCTTCTACCGGATATCTGGTTAGATCACAAGACTGGAGTAGAGAGCACTATGAATTGTTCGTCACGAGCACAGTAACTGAAATGTAAAACTGTTAAAAGAAAAGGCTCAATAAACTAACGCACATTTAATACACTACGCGCATCAATATCTCTTCACTTTGTGCTTTGAACTTCTCTATGCTGCGGCTGTGACTCCGTGTTGCTTCAAGCGCGTCATTCTGCGCACGGGATGCGCATAAGCGCTTTAAGCCGCTCTGTATTTGTAGCCTTTAGTATCATAATGCTTTCGCGCAATGAAAGATTATGAATAGCCTTTCTTGTTCGTCTTATCTATCATATGCTGCTACCTCATTACTCTGCTATACATTTAAAAGAAATGTCTTTTAATTCATACAGTAGTCAACATTTGAAGTGGATCAAAAAAGTTCATCAAAGTTGTCCTAAGACAAGAACGGGTATTGTTTTGGTTTTAGGACAACTTTGATGAAAGGTTTTGATCTACTTCAAATGTTGACTACTATAGTGTATATTTATATATAAATATATTACTTGTTTTTCATGAATGTATTTTACAACAATGCAAAGAGCAATGTGTAGGCCTACCAGATTTAGCCCTACACTTATTCCCTTTTATTTGTTACCCACTAAGTAATGTATTTTTTTTTACTAAAAGTTTAGGATTTTATAAAATTATTGTGCACTCAGGATTTTTCTAGAGTAACTTTTGCTACTGAGTTATCCATTAACCTAGTTTATAATAGTATTTTTGTCATAGATTTTGATAATATTTTTTGTTTGTTTGTTATTTTTTCTTTATAATGAAGCTGTCTATATTTAGTAGATTGTGTGTAACATACAAAAGAGTGATGATCGACCTACACATTGAGGTATAGAAATTCTACACTCATTTAAAAAAATTGTGCTGGTATCAGATCGATATCGGTATCGGCAGATACTCAGAATTTTTGGTATTGGATCGGTATCGGTTCTGAAAAAGTGGTATTGAGCCATCCCTAGTATCAGGTAGGGTTAGGGTAGGTGTAGGGAGGGTTTTATTGTCCCAATAAGGTGGCATCCATTTAATAATTTAAATTAAAATGATAATTTACACTTAATACGTTATTATTGCATACTGTTTTAGTGTACTACAATACTGAGGTGTGGATAATTGCCACTATTTGCAATAACTAGTTTAAATAGCAGAAAATCCTGCCATTTTTAACAGTGTAACTAGAATCTAATTGTATCTTATTTACACTTAGTTATCTTTTTTTTTTTTTTTTTTTACAGGGAAGAAGGGCATAAGCGAAATATGAAGTTGGGATAACTTCCAAAACCAAAAAAGAAGTCGACCTATGCAAAGGTGTAGTTTTGATTGGGAAATGCATAATCAAAGTGGGAAAGCAGTCAAACACTGATTAGAGCAACAAGAGTCCTAATTAAGTTATAAAGATGAGGTTTAGCCTAATGTTCTTAAAATTAAGAGAGGATAATTTGCTACAAAACATGATCAAGCAACACCATACAAACAAGAGTGAAGTGTTGATTTTATACAGCAGTTCAGTAAATAATGAGTTTTGTGAGTTACATTTTAGACACAATATGTTGTCTGTTTATGCTCAATTTTGCCAATAAAAATTGTTCTAAACAAAGCCACGTCAGAACCATTGCACAAGCAACTCACAGCCAAATCTTATGTATGAATGCGATCTGGACATCATCTGCCATGTTGACATTATCATGTGATCTATGACGTTATAACAAGCGCAGCAACTTAAAACATATGAGCGACAGATTTAATCCATCTATAAATATTTTGATGTTGATGAAATTTGCTAATTTCGTGGTCTTGTTGAAGAAACAGTTTTCCATTTATTTTGTGATTATAATTCTGCCCCTTGGCTATCTGATGTTCTCCGTGAGTATCGTTCTAAACTCAGGGCTGCTGAAAGTGTGTGGCGCAAATCACAAAATCCTACTGACCTTAATGTATATCGATCACTCCTCACAACGAATCACAGCGTCTTCACGACATGGCGTTGGCAACAACAATACTACAGCGAGAATAAAAGTTACGCCTTCTTTCTTTGCGTGAACATTTGGGCGGCGTTATGCAAATCTTCCCACATAGTGAGGTAGATATTTGGGGGCGTGTTCGAACGAGCCGTTTTAGGTAGGTGTGGCTGACTCTTAACTTTTATAAAGAATATCTCTTTGGATTTGAGACTTTAGTCTTTGCAACTTTACAGATCTTCTTTATGCACCAATAGATTGTAAATTATTTATATTTTATTTACTGACAACAATAGGATGAATAAAAGCATCAGAATTAATAAATACATATACAAGTCAACAACAGATTAAATAAAACTTTATTCAAACTTATTGTTCTAACAATCATATATTCACAGGCGATGAACCCACATACTACTGCCATCTCAACACAGCTGTGCCAGTTCTGTGGCTTTTTTGATGAAGCAGCTGACCACCATGCCCACCATCACCTGTCTCCAGGGCCGGATTAACATAAGTGGGGCTGAAGCCCCAGGGCCCGTGGATTGAGGGGGCCCGACGTGATTGGCTGTGCTGTGGAGGAAAGAAAAAGTAGACCTAGAACGGATTGGCCATCGGGAGCACCCGAGCTTTTCCCGGTGTGCCGATTGCTGAAATCCCACCACGCCCCCACATATTAGTGTCTGCGCTATTTCAGTCCAAAAGATATGAGCGATAAAAATGTCTTTGTACTCGTTTACACTAGAGTTGCGGGTATCTTTTAATCGCCTCGGGCTCTACTGTAGCACACGGGAAACAAACACTAAAAGCCAAGTAATGAAACGGCACTAAGTTACCTGATTAAACCACGCAGCGCAAGAGAACAGCTGGACCACACCAGACCGGTGTCTCCCGCCCGCGACTGCAGCTTGACACTTTCGCCGCTCTATTGAAGTGAATAATAAGCAGCACTTGCCCATTTGAATTCGAATAAATTTAATCCATGTGGAATTTAATCCACAGCACCACACCTAAGCTATTTAACATGACACTGATACTGTAGAAATATGCCATTATTACTTATAGCCTATTAAATATTGGGTCAAATAAAGGCAATAAGTCACTTTTATAAAGGTTTATTAACTCTGGATTCATGAATTAGCTTTTCATTAAATTATTTATTTATTCCAATTTCCCTAACCACAGCAAAACATTTATGGGGGACTGTGTGGGCCAGATGGGCTGAATTTTAGCACCAGTCCAGCCCTGATGATTCTCCTCTTCTAGGGCCAGAAAAAAGACCTTCTAATAATAAAACTATTTAACGTTAACTCTTTAAGACTAAGACTAGCTCCTTAAGGGAGCTGTATATGCTTAACAGTTGTTGCTGCTTCTGGAAACCTGTTTGCTTTGACTTCATGTATAATAATGTATTTATTCTTTTAATGTGTTGTAGCCTGGAATATTTAGTGTGCATACTCATTGTATCTCTGTGTGTTGAAGATTTGATTTAAAACAAAAAACAAAAAAGAAAACGAATTATTCCTGTGGTAGAAAATGTTGTGGCACCAAGATAGGCTACTATGAGGGCCCTTGGGTTTGCTATAGCCCCAGGGCCCTATGTGTTCTTAATCCGGGCCTGCCTGTCTCTACTGTCCATCACGTCCCTCATTGCTGGAATCTGATCATGAATGAGAAAGAGACTGTACAGAACCCTTTTGGCATGCTGAAAACACACTGGTGCTCTATTTTCTTCAAGCCCTTAGAGGCGAGCCCTGCCTTCGTGCCTGAGGTTCTTGCATGCTGTGCTGTGCTTCACAATCTCGCTCTTCTCAATGGGGACATCGTTGAGCCAGAGGATGAGTGACGCCCCCCTGAACCACACAACCTTGAAGCAAGAGTGAGTAGGAGAGCATTTGTGGGACAATCTGGCTGCTGCTGTGTCTGCTGTAAACATGCCTGCTCTCCATGAATGAATGAATGAATGACATGCCTGCTCTCCATGAGCACCACTACCTGTAAAACATTTACACAGAGTAAAACATTTTACAATTAATGTTGTCAGCTTTCCATTTCTTGACAAATTTCATTTCATGTTTACAATTACATGCTAATTTTTGTTGTAGCTTTACATTATTTGTGTGATGGGCTAAACCACTGAAGTGGTTCGATCTCCGCAGCCGTCACACCCAGTGTGTCATTGAGCAAGGCTCTTTTCTCCAGGTTGCTCCAGGGGATTGGGGGTCCCTGTAATAAGAGCACTGTGAGTCACTTTGGATAAAAACTTTTTTGATGATGCTTTTGAAGATTATTTGATGATGCTTTTGAAGCTTCTGAAAGTTGGGCTCCATTGACTGATGTTGTATGAACAGAAACCAGCAGTGAAACCAGAAACAATGTAATGTGATTTCTGTATTGGAAGTAACAAAATGATCTTACTTTATAATTTTGTTTCAGGTTTTCCCCCTTTTTTTTCATAAATGCCGCAGTCACCTAGCCTTGCAGGTCCTGCTCCACCACAAAAGCTCTGCAGCCAATGCACAGGAATCAAGAATAAGAAAAGTGCTGCAATAACTCTGTTTATAAGAACCCGCGGTGATTATCTGGTATAAACTCTGGTGATTATCAGAAAAGGTCTTTTTAAAGCATTATCCCTCACTTTCAACTCAGGAAGTCCCTAAGGGACATATAAGGAACACACAGGTTCAGTCATGTGACAATATGTGAATTTTTGTTGCCATGGCAACATTTCCAAAATGGTGGCCTGTCTAATTAGCACATGTTGCAGTGTCTGGAATTTTTAAAAGCGCTTGTTTTTGTTACTAAAGGTATGTTTCAACCCATGCAACAATTCTAATGTTTTAATAACATATCCTAGATTACACTTAACCTGATTTTAATACATTTCTTGAACAAATTGATATAAAACAAGTTATGAAAATATTGTGGTGACATATGTATAACAGTAGGTGGAATTTTGATGTGACGTATTTGTCAAATTAAGAAAAATGTTAATGAGCTGCTTAATTAATTTAGCTGATTCAATTATTTTAGTGTTATATATTTACTGCTGCTCATATCAAAGCATATTTGAACAAATGTAAACATAAAAATAATGTCAAATTAATTACATTGATAATGAAATGTATTTTGAAACTATTTTGCATGCATGTAACTAAAACAAGATGTTTATATCATATGTTGGTCCTATTTTAAGGTTATTTTATCTTTTTTGTAGTGAGAATAACATGAACAGATGCGATAACGCATAACTGATGTGGTGATGCGATGAATGAACTAACTCATCTGTTATGCATTGAAGAGATAACACATAACATGTATATTGCATTGCAGTAACTTAGTCCGTTGTGCAGTGAAGAGATAACACATGACAGGTGCTTGTTGCACTGCATTGCATACAAGAACTAACTCTGAAGAGAAAAACATTGAAGAGAAAAAAAATCATATATGCTGTTGCATAGCAATAAATGCTAAGAACGAACTGTTTCATTGTTTTGCATACAATAATTAACTTATTGCATTGTGCATAGAAGAAATTAAAGTGATAAAGGTGATAACAATGGTTTGATCAGAGTGATCAAGTTTTTATTTCACTGAGCATTGTATTGTTTGTTTGTTTACAATTTTATTGCACAATATACACATTTTAGCAATGTTATTGCACTACGTGCATGTTTAACCTCCAGTTTGAGGTAGTTATTTATTTTTATTCAGTTTGCACATTTTCAAGGTGTGAAAAAAAAAAATCTAAAAATGAATTTCTGGTTAAACCATATACTTGAAAAGGAAGAATTTTGATATGTTACAAAATAGTTGTTGTAAAATGTAATGGTCACATTTATGTGGTTTTGAAATATGTTGTGGCAAAGCAAATAAAATGCAAAACTGTATTACTTCTGAAAAAGGTTTGTTTTATCTTCCCAGAAAAGTAATAATTTTGATATATGTTGTGAAAAAGCAAATAAACAGAAAAAAACGAGAAATAAACGCCCAATGTAACATATATGTAACATTAAATATTTATCATAAACGCCCAATGTAACATATATGTCACATTACAGATCTTTCACAAGGAGATGTTGTATTTCAAAAACAACTGCAGAAACATGTTATAAGTGGTCCATTTGGTCTGTTTTATATGCCCCATAATTTTCCTATAAATTATTTCCTATAATTTAAATAAACTACAACTTTTAAAAGATTTAAAAGCTGTTTAATTCAGTCACTCTGCACCGAATAAACACACGTCTCATCTGTCGCATATTAAATAAACATTTAGTAATCGTCTTTAAGATGTATATGGTTTATGTTAATCCACTTTGGAGACGTACCTGTCTGTTAGCGATACATAATATAACGTGTTTTTACAGCAAAATCACAAATATACTATACTATTTATTGTCTTTACACCTTCAGCAATTTAACAGTTTAAGTCGTCACCTTTATTTATATAGCGCTTTATACAAAAAAGGAAAATAGTTTGTTTACTCTACAGTAGTTCAACAAATGCGATTTTAACACAAGGAACCGTATATTTGATATGTAATACTCACATTTTTTTAAACACCCTCATCGCTGTTCTCCGCCCTGTTCGATGATGATGTATCCTCTCCCGTGGGCTTCTGGGGTAGAAAAGTGTCTTATCGATGAACACTTCAGAATCTGAGCTGAAGCAGTAGGACATCTGGGGATTTCTCGCCTTCTTTTTTATGAATACTAAGGTTTTGGACATATTAATCTCTTCACGTACTCTTTTCTAGGCATATTCGGATGGAACTTAAGTACACATAAGTCCGAATCTTGCGAAAATTAGTACACCATGCAGATAATTCTCACCTACTCTTTTATGAATACTAAGGATTCTGACATACTTATTGTAGGTGACCAGCACGAATTAGCACCTAAAGGGAAACACACACACACACATAATGGCCATTATACAAAATACACAAACATGAAGACATTAAATAAACAAACAAACAAACAAAAAATAAATGTTCATTTAAATTTACATTGTCATTTAGCAGATGCTTTTATCCAAAGCGACTTACAAATGAGGACAATGGAAGCAATCAAAATCAACAAAAGAGCAATGATATGCAAGTGCTATAACAAGTCTCAGTTAGCTTAACGCAGTACACGTAGCAAGGGTTTTTTATTATTATATAATAAATAAAAAGAAAATAGAATAGAAAAAGAATAGAGCAAGCTAGTGTTAGAGGCCCCTTTTTTTTGCTTTTTGTTAATTGTATA